CCGCCCCCCCCTCCCCCTGCCGACCCTGCCCCTGGCCGAGCTGCAGGTAACCCCCCGGTCCCCCAGGCAGGGGGAGGAGGGCTGGGTCTCACAGGGCGGTGAGGGGGCATGGGTGAGCCTGGGGGGTGGTGGGGGGATGGGTCCAGGGGGGCAGAGAGGGGAACCCTTTTCTCCTCCTTTCTCTCCCATCCCCAGGCGCTGTGCCAGGAGCTCCACGCCCGCGTGGACCGTGTGGACGAGGAACGCTACGACATGCACGTTCGGGTCACCAAGAACATCAACGAGGTACGGCCGGGACGGGGGCTCCCTGGCTCCCCTTCCACCCCCGACACCCCAAAATCCAGCCAGAGCCCCCCCACTGCGCCCTGCGAAAGGGCCACAGAGACTGAGTGACCCTCCAGCTGCAGTAACAAAACAGGTCACTAGGTGGTGCCGCAGGGATGGGGTTTAGCCCCGCCCCGCCCCCTTAAGCGCCACCCCCACCTCTCACACCCCGCAGCACAGCGCCCCCTAGTGCCATCTGGGGGCATCTGCCTGCCAGGTTAGCGCGCTGATCCCCCCGCTGACCCCCCCGCTCCCCCTGCCCCACCGCTCTGACCCCCAGATCGAGGATCTGAACCAGAAGATCTTCGACCTGCGGGGGAAGTTCCAGCGCCCGGCGCTGCGGCGGGTCCGGCTCTCGGCCGACGCCATGATGCAGGCCCTGCTGGGCGCCAAGCACAAGGTCTCCATGGACCTGCGGGCCAACCTCAAGCAGGTCAAGAAGGACGACACGGAGAAGGTGAGCGGGGGGGGACGACTGGGAGGGAGAGGTTGGAGGAGAGCAGGGGGAGCTGGGAGGGGAGCAGGGGGGGAGCTGGGAGGGAGAGGCTGGGGGGAGCAGGGGAAGCCCCCCCCACTCGGGGGTATCAGGACTGACCCCCTTCCCCCCCCCCCCCGCAGGAGAACCGGGAAGTGGGCGACTGGCGCAAGAACATCGATGCCCTGAGCGGCATGGAGGGGAGGAAGAAGAAATTCGAGACCTCGGGGGCTGGGCAGGCCTGAGCAGGTGACCCCCCGCCCTGTGCCCCACAGCGCCCCCTTCTGGGAGACGTGGGTTTGGGGTCACTGGGACCCCTCCAGAGCTAGCGCTCCTGGCCTGCTCCTCGCAGCGCTCCCTTCTGGGAATCGTGGGGCTGGGGGTCACCGGGACCCACCCACACACACACACAGCCGGCGCTCCTGCCCCGCGCCCCATAGCGCCCCCTGCTGGGAGATGTGGGGCTGTGGTCACCAGTGACCCACCCACACACACACACAGCCGGCGCTCCTGCCCCGCGCCCCCTAGCGCCCCC